GGAATGGAAATGGACTCCAATTAAGGCGTGGGAAATCAAACTTTCAATTCCAGTTGACATTCTTTGAATTGAATTCGACCTATTATTCATATTAACAGCTACTTTAGGAGAGCAGTAACTAGATCAAACATTTTCCCAAAATGTATGGTAATTCGTAAAATAATATATAAAATCTGTTTTAAAAACTTGTTTGCTGTGTCAATACACCGAATACGTGGCGTTGTTTACTAAAAGATGGTTATACATTTTCAAATGTGACAACAGTCTCAAACAAATTCCTTCTAAGAAATCGCGCCTGTTTTGAGTTCCGTATTTCAATTCGAAATGGGCAGTTTTGTCCAAAAATGCCTTTTTCACATTTTCCCTAATTAAAATTTCATAAAGTGATTGCTTTCGGAGCGGAACAAATTTGTTAACTTCTGGTTGGAAGTGGGGTTGTTTCACAATTGAAGCCGAAAATTGTGTGACTTTTATCGATCAATGTTGCTGTTATCGTTCATTAATATTGCTGTTTTCATTCGGTATCGATTTACATAAGGCCCAACATTTTTAGAAGGAAATGATTATGACGCGCGGTGAAATCGTAGAAAAGCCCCAAACAACATTCGACAAACTGAACAATAACCGAATAAATCTCATTTCAATTTAGAGAAATTTCAAAGGAAATTTTTGGTTGAAAAAAAAATACACGGAAGAAACAATTTTCATCGGCAAATCAATAGCGGAATTTGAATACGAAACCAATGAAAGAAATGCGTTCAATCAATACGAGAGACGCACGCATATTTTCCAATTACAATTCTAACAACGCATTTTATATATGAATGTTTGATGGCAGGAAAAGCGTTTCAATTATTCAACTATGTATATTTAATTTTAAATACAATGAGAGCGAGTTTTGGTAGAACGCGTCGTTACATTCATGATTTTAATTACTTTTTTTTGGGGAAACACACGACGAATGCTGTCGAAAATTGGAATCGATTTTTTTTTTAATTCATATTCCACATGCAAATGAAGAACTTCATATCATGGCTACTAAATATTAGTAGAAATTCGACGCCACGAAATGCAATAAATGCGCCATATAATATTAAATGAAATTTGGGCATTCTCCCCACCTCTTCGCTTGAATGCAATGTCAGCAAACGCAACGGCATCAAAAATGTATGTAATTTCATACCTATACAATGGCAAAGGCGCATTGATTCTATCAAAGCCAAACCCATTAAAAATAAGTGATTCTCTATTTCGCTCAGACTCAATGTCTCTCTCTTGCTCACTTTCATCAATTCGCTCTTGTGTCAGCTCCAACGAGAACGGAAAAGCTGAAAGAAGAAAAAAACACTCGCTATCAAACCATACTTGCACATATACAGTATATTGCATTCGAGCGAGAATTGTTTTCGGTACGAGGCGAAAAAAAAATGCCAGAAAAAGCAACGATGAGCATTTAAAAGTATTTTGTAAGCGCTCAAAATGTATATAGAACGAACACTGCGGGTGTTTTTGGGCTGAATGTGAGAGGCATGGGGGAAAAAGCGCAAGCGATTCGTGACCAAACTATGTTATCACCATCATCATATCATGATTTTTCGTCGTCATCGTCGTCGTCGCCGTGGTTGTGTGTCCGCTTTTCACTTTCATTCGAATACATAAAATACATATACAGACCGATTGAATAGCAAGTACACCGATAAACAACAACGATAGCCATAGAAAACGAGTGAAACGGCGACATCGAAACCACCTCAAACCACTGCTCATGGAGTCTATGTACAATCCAAAAATGCCAAATACTAATACACAATATGTGTGTGCGTGGCGTCGCCAACGAAAGTGAAATGAAAATTCAATTTGAATGACGAGGACATGCGCGCGCTCGCGCTCACCCGCCCGCACATTTGTATACATAAGGCACACTATGTTCAATATCAAACCGGGTAATATTGGGTACATAAATTCACGTGATTTGAGCGACAGAGCGAGACAAAATAATGCCGGAGTTAGAGCGCGACAAACATGAAAAAATGCAGCTCAATCCCCATATATAATGTATATTTTCCCTTTCGTTTCGGCAACGCTGTGTACATTGTTTTATTTGTGTCTCTTCTTTTTTTTTCCATCTTCTATGAGTGGCATGTTTCCTTTTTGGATATTCGGTTTGGAATCTTATTTTAGTGCATACCATTGTATATGCTCAATGTATATACGCGCGCACTCTTTATCGTTCGTTCCATTCACATGCACAAAACACGCATTTTCCATTTTTCGCCTATATAGTATGTCAAGCATTTTCCGTTTTCATTCTTCATCTCACTCACTCTACTCACTTACTCTCAACCCCTCTCTCTCTCCCTTGGTGTATTGCTTCCTCCGCATTTTCCACCCGCGCATATAAACGCATTTCAAACAAAAACAACGATAACAACACACTCCACTCGGTGTACATAACATTGAAAATTTTGCGCATCCTCCGAAGAACATGACAACACCACACACAAAAAAAAGTTGGAAAAAAATGACGTTATCGCATACGGTATATGCCGCTCTCGATGCGTTGTCGAATGAAAACTGAAATCATGATAAAAACATGCTATCAATGCAAACGCAATGTGTTTACATGGCAGTGATAGCACCATAGTTACACAACACTTCTCCTCTTCACTGCAAATGCGTACGTGCGTAAAAACGGCGTTCACTACACGCATATTTATATACCCAGTATATGCGTGTGTATGCGTACCTATATATGTGCTACACTCATAGCTGTACATACACCGGTTTTCCCATAAAGTTGTAGATTGACCCAATTTAACCTTATGTGCGTGCATTCGTACATTCGATTTCAATGGATACGATACAAATATACATTATATGCGCACGGATATGAAGTGTGGTAGCATAAAGAAGGATATGCAATGCCAATAGAGTAAATACATGGTCACAATATACCCCATATATAGCAATAGCTATATGTATGGCATACAGTACGATATAAAGGCCCGATCCAGGATTCAGTCATTAAATTGTGCATGCAAACAGCAAACGTAGCAAAAGTGAAAGTTTGTTTTCTCTTTCCGTTGAATTGGTCGGAGCGTTTTTTGGGTGCGATAGCATCATTGTGAGTGTATGTTGCATGAACAGTTCCCATTCTCTTATTCATCGAATGTAACGCGCACTATGCCTACCAAACGCGCAATATTGATAGCAGCAGCAACCCTTAACTTATCCGAGCGACTGCACTTGAAAGCAAACATAAAAAACGCAGTTCAAGGAAATGAGCCTGTATTTTTCAGGCATCAGAAGGGAAGTGAACTGTACAACTTTTTCATGTTTCTTTCCATTCACTCGCTCGGTTGCTCACTCTCTATCTCTATCTCTCACACTCTCACTCGGATATTTCATAGTGTTTTTATCAAATGACAGCGACGTTTTTCGTACAATGGGCTCGAGTTGAACAATAAAACGAACGACCAAAAACGAGCCGATGGAGAGTAGCGCATACACAAAATAAAAAACGAAACAAAGCTAGATGGGAAAAACGAATGCCATGTAGCAAGAATATTAATAGGATTGAGAGATTTGGTCGTTGTTTGTCTCTGATGAATGCAATTTGAACAAATTTTTCAACTTTTCAATTTCAAGCACTACGTTTTTCCTTTGATTATTCTTATCAATTCGAATTTTACAATATCGAAAAAATGTCATTGTTAAGGTATTTGACAAAAAGACGATGATGACAAAAACACATTCATTCTATTGAATGTTCATTTTGATTTGTATGGCTTCACTTGAAAAATCCTGGTAAGAGAAAGCAAAAACAAAAAGCGAACGATGAAAAATGAGTGGAAAATGGTAAAAAAAAAAGATTTAAAAAAACAATATCCTGTGCAAATACAAACAACAGGGAAAAAAACGTACACACGGAAAATGCCCACTTCGTATGAAAGTCAATAAAAACAACGATGTCAAACTATACATATAGAATTTTAATAGATATTGCGCATGAATCGACGATGTGCATGCAGCAGCACTAGAACAGTAGCAGTCGATATAAATGGAAATGCGAAAAAGGAAGTGAAATCCTAGCCGAATAGACACTAGCACAATTTTATTTATTTTCGATGGGCGCACATATTTCATCGAAAAACTCGGTACACCGAAAATTTTGCACACGTACCATTTTTTCGCTCACTCTTTCTCTCTCTCTCTCGGTCTCGTGTTTGGTCTCTTGTTCCATTTAGAGACAACACAAGCAGAAATGGTAACAAACAATTGAAATTCAATATGCCGTGACGAGCGTTCATAAGATTGAAGAGTAAGAGTAAAAGGTGCACAAAAACTGTTGTGATAACCAACTAAAGATAAGCCTGGGTATATTCAAATTTTACAGGCAACAGGAAATTCATACTGGAATTTCTTGATTGCAACCCATCGTTTTTATCCTTGTTCATAAAACATTTCCACGCAATTGGAAAGGAGTTACATGTTCGAATTATTGATTTTTTTGCCTCACACAAAACAAACTACGTTTTTATTTTATCGGACTTGCTTCACTTCCACTTTTCAATATTCATACCATACAATTTTTATTCAGAATAACAAGAGAAAATGCTATGAAAGGAAATGCCATTGTTATGGATTCAAATCGGCATCATAACAAAAGTTGTGATTTGATATGTATACACTCACTAAATGATTTTATCCATGAAATCTCTTTCCCTCTCTCGTCAATAATAATTCAATGGAAGATACACAAATTTCGTATAAGAACACAAAGACATAACACACAACATTGGATATATGACATTCTTGTGGCTAGTCGGTGCGAGATGGCGCACGCAACGCTTACATTCTATTTATTGACATTTGATACTGAATTGCATGTGTTCTTGTCTCGTTCGTTGCACATTTAACCGGCAATCGGTTCTCGCATAGTGCAATTTTGAATGTGAAAATAATTGTTGCCTTTTTTTTACTTTCGTTTCATTTAACAGTTTGACAATATGGATCCCCAACAGCAGTTTTGTCTTAAATGGAATAGTTATTCGTCAAATTTGGCGATGACTTTCTCAAATCTATTTAAATCAGATCTATTGGCTGATGTTACGCTTTATTGTGGCGGTAAGTGATTTTGACAGTAGACATTTTTGTTGTTGCTTTCTTTTTCAACAAACAACTAAATCATTGAATTTTTGCAATGTGGTTTTCAGGTACCGTTTTCAGAGCACACAAACTCATCTTGGCCGCATGTTCGAAGAATTTTGCAGACTTATTTGAATCGGCACCACCAAGTTCATCGTGTGTTGTTATTTTAGAAGCAACATCAGCTGAAAATATGTCAGCGCTACTTGAATTTATGTACAAGGGTGAGGTGCACGTTTCACAAGAGGCACTGAACAGCTTCTTGAAAGCCGCTGAAAATCTTCAGGTAATTTATTGTAGTTCAAAAATGTTGCAATGAACACTCTACCACACAAATTGGTGCTTCTTGCATTGAGAATGAATCATTGTTTGCCGTCAATCGGAATGCACAAATTAATTGCATCGATTGTGTTTTTTTGCAGGTTAAAGGCTTGTCAACTGAACATGGACGTTTGGCTGCAGAACAATCACAAGAACAAGAACGAAGACACCAAAGAAACAGTACGTCGGCAACATCACCATCGGCATTACCATTGAATACATTGAAACAAGAATGTGATTCGTTAATGAATCCAAGCAGTTCGGGATTGAGCGGCGGTTTCGCACCATACATACCACAAATGTATCGGCCGTTCGATGCAACACGCAAACGCGGTCAACGTAGCCCATTCAGTGAACCAGAACGACAGAGTGTATTACGTGACGGATCACGGGGAAGTGCTGAAAATGCTGGCTCTAACAAACGGAACCGGTATGCATTTTAGAAATTGTCAAAAATCAATGGATTTTAATTGAATTGTTTGTTACAGACCATCAAGCAGTGCTTCATCAACGGCTCCAACGGAAGCAGACACTTTACAAAATGAACGCGCATCACCTCAATCCAGGTTAGTTTTGGACGATTCTTTATTTTGAACAAAAACGCAATTTTCGAATGAAATTTATTTTTCGAAAAAAAAAAATATTTTTTTTTTCAAAATGAGTGGTTTTAACGGTTTTATGATTTTTTTCATTGCGAAAAATAGCAGAAATGATAATCATAGCCCCCCAAGTACAACAGCACGAAATGGATCAACGGACAACCAAGACGAACGAAATGGATCGAAAAGCGGACAAGATCAGGATGACGACATAAAGAAGGAAGGCGACGTAAGTGATACAATAGAGAAATGAATAGCAATAATTGAAACATTGAACATTTTTTGATTGAACAAATATAATAAAAATTGATTGGATGAAAAAGAGATATATGAAATGTTATTGATTGAAATTAATGTATTTTTTGTTGTTTTTATTTTTTGTGTATGTAAAGGCTGGCGCCGAAGATCTACGAATTAAATTGGAAGCTGACTATTCTCCGCAACCGCCAACATCAAATACGACACCATCAACACCGACATCATTGGTGAGTTACATGGAAACCCGAAGCGACGGTTTGCCACCAAGTTTGGCGCAAATTGCACCGGCCGATATGCTCAATGTATGGAATCAGACAAAGTTAAGCAGCAAAAGTGGAACAGTTCAAACAGCCGATGGTAAGCATTGATTTTCATTATTCACTTAAATAAAAGCGCATCATTCAAGTAATTTCGAATCAAAAACTTAATCGTTGAGAATGAATAATTCGAATAAGAATTAAACTAAAAAAAATCGGTTCACAATTTCTACTAATTTATGTTTGTTATTCGTTTTGCAAATTTGAATGATGACAGGAAAAAAATTGAAGTGCCTATACTGTGACCGATTGTACGGCTACGAAACCAATTTACGTGCACATATTCGACAACGTCATCAAGGTATACGTGTACCATGCCCGTACTGTTCAAGAACATTTACGCGAAATAACACGGTCCGACGGCATATAGCACGTGAGCACAAACACGAAATTGCCATACACCAACAAATGCAATCGACTCAACCAAATCATGCCGCTTAAACACGCACACACACAAAATGTGACCGAAATGAGATCCAAACGAAAATTTAAAACATCTTCACCGCGTCTATCCCCATATTGAAAAAGTCTGAACCGATCAGAAGCAATCATTAAAACAAAATCACATTTATCTTAACAATTCAAAATGGAGAACGAGAAGCAATATGTGAATTCCCAGTGACAGAGACCCGAATTTTCTTATACATTCGCTAGTCGAACAAAACAAAAAGAAGACGGAAATTTCATATGTCATGCAAAGTTTCGCTGAAAGAGGTGAATATGTACGATTTCCTCATATTGCTTCAACATCATTCAACAAGTAACAAACCGAGATAAAGAATTAATTTAAATTATAAATAGTATTTTATTGAAACTACCGTTAATATACAGAGACAATTTTTATTGCATTTTATGTAATCGAAAAAGAATCAAGTGAACACAAATAGTAACAATTTTTGCATACTATTTATCACACAAGTGAGATAAAAAAAAAAACAAAACAAAATATATATTCAATCAATGAAAGATAGAATCCGTTAACATATTTTTACACCAAAACAATAGTCATATTCAACGTAACAGAGAGATAAACAATTTTTTTTTGTTTTTTTTTTTTTTACAACACTTATTAAATATGATAGTACAGATATAGGAACACATACATACACACAGAGAGAGAATCAATTTATTTATATTTCGTTTTGAAACTGATTTTTTTTACATTGATACAAAATAGCCTTGAATATATATTCAAATGTCCATGAGGTTCGATTGAAAATGATCGAATGGACAATTTGAATATATAAGATTGAAAATATTTACTACTACATATTTTTTACCGTGCTCATTTATATAGTTTATGCAATAACAAGAAAAAAATTGCCAGCGAAGCATCCATTTTCGAGAATGACAAAGAAAATTCAACATTTTCAGAAAGCATTTGACCACGCAATCATTTCTGTTTTATACTAAACAAAGTATAAGCAAAATGCTTTTTTTTATTAAAGAAGCGAACATAAAAGCAGCGCAATGAGAGAGAAAAACCACGACGACGCAATCACAACGCATGTGATGCCATATGTTTTTGTTTCTTTTAAGCATTTATATATGAAAGACAATATTGTTTTCGAATTTTGTTAAAAAAAAAACCTTTTTTCACACTACGATTCCTACAATAGCCATAAAAAACTACTGTCTATATTAATAACCACTAAGTATTACCGTTTTATTACCATGAACCATTTTATTTACACATCAAATAGATTTATTCGACTGTTTGTTAGTTTTGCTAACACAGATTCATCTATAACCTCCTTTTTTTCTCTGTTATACCGTACACACAGATACACACGACTCAACCACTAAGCGCGAAATTCCCCTTAAAATGGATCACGTTCCATGGAAGAGAGAATTTCACAGTCTGCATTTTCACATGCTGTTGTTTCAAGTTGAAACTTTCAACAGCGAACAAAATGCAATAAAATACTTTAACATAAATGAAAACTCAAGTACCTGCCGTTAATACATAGCATAGAATTATTAGTAAAAAGAAAATAGACGATAGACACATAATCCGCAATGCACAAGAAGATTAAAGAAAAAAAAACTTGATATTAGTTTTATTCGTTATTCTTCTATCCGGAGTTCAGTAACACTTATATAGTGAATTGAACTGAACAAATAAAATGTGTGCAAAAACTATGTTGATCGAATAATCTCGTTGCACGGAGACAAAAAACATTTTCGCACAAACCGGTCAACCACTTTACTTTGCTAAAGTGAAACCGTTACCAGCGTACAGCATACACAGCTCAATTTTCAATTCTAAAATAAAATAGTAGTTTTGAAACACAAGTTGTCGCGGTGATATAGCAAACAAAACCTTAATCATTCTGTACATAAAACTCTTTTGTTTTTCTTTATCTCAAACGCCAGCTGCTTCGACATTGACGACAACCATTTTTGTTACCAACTTTTTTTTTTTAATACGTTATCATTTATTTTTCTTCCATACAAAGATAGAGATTTTACCGTTATTTACATACAACCACACAGAGTGAACTTAATAGAACAAGAATTGCAGACGTTACACATACATTAAGAAACTAAAGAAATTTTTTCAAATTGGAGTTAAAGTGACAAATAAAACTAATAGCAAACACATAAATGCTGTTAGATCAATAAACGATAGATAAAATCAGTGCCTGAAATAAATCAGTGATTTTAAGCCAATTTTTTTAAAATAGTCAATATACTTTCTGAAAATGTGTACGCTCGATTGTCAATATACGAATCTCAAATTATGATGCTTTATGCTGCAATTTAAAATGCATTACACACATATATGCAACAAATAGTCAACAAAATAAAACCAAAACCAACAATGAATAATAATTTAAAAAAAAAGAAACGAAATGTAAATAATATTCAATTTCATTCAGGATTTGAGAAATATTCACACATGAGGAAAAACAACGGAGAAGAATAGCGTTTGGAACGACATTTTTGGCAAAGAAATGATTTTGATTGAAACGAAACCGAGACGAGGAAAAAAAGAGAAAGATTACTTAGGTAAAAGTGTAAAAACAAAACCGTACCACTTTAGAGAATATTGTTCTATCGATGGTCCATTGATTGGACACCCAAAATGAAAAGATAAAACAAAAAATGTGTGTAAACAATGAAATGTTGACGAGAAAATATTGAAATACATGAATAAAAATGAAATGAAAAACTCGTAAAACGATACAACAAATAAATTAGCTGTTATGAATATGAATGAAGAAAAAAAGTTGAAGGAAAACCGATAGAAGCGACGGAAACAAAGTTACCGATATAATAAAAAAAAACAAGCTGAAAAGCCACAGGATGGAATAAAATGCTTAAGAATTTCAAGTGAATTTTACCAACGTTAACCATTTTATTTATAATTTAAGCAAACAGAGAGGGAGAGAGTAAGAGGTGGATCGCATCTCTTCAAGATATTAATCAACCAGTGAGCATATATGATCCTAATCTACTTTTATTAAGTAATTATTATTTTTTTTTTGTTTTTGCTCTAATTTTACATTTTTACCGAATTTACGTTTATAATATATCTATTTTTTTTTTGACTTGATTTCAAATCAACAATGTAATAGCAGAAATTCGCAATGAAATTGCAATTTCTTGCCAATCGCCCCTCGCTTTTGTGTATAACATACATAGTTATTATATTTCTTTTTTTTTTTGTTTAGATCAGATTTTATTTCTAATTAGTGAATTTCCAATATGTACATAAAAATTATTTCGTTTTTTTTTAAAGGAAAAAAAAAACAATTTGCTTGCTTGAATCTTTGATCGTCTTTAGCGAAAACTAACACAATTTGATTTAATTAATGTCAGGCCATTTTTACATTAATTTCAATTAGCAATTGATTTTTTTTCCGTTTACTTTTTCCAATTAGATATTTGTTATTAAATTTTTGTTTTGGTCAGACATTATCGAGATTTTTGTTTTCGAGAGTGTGATAACCACAATTCAAATTCGATTTTTTCCAATTCCTTGTTTTCCGTTTCAATTTTCTTTTACTGTCCGAGCACCACAAACAAAAGATCGGAAACTGAGTTTAGATACGCCCCCAAGTTGATTATCTGTGATTTATGATCAATAAGAAATGTTTTGAACATTTTCTTTTCTTTTTTTTTTCTTTTTTCATTTTTCTGTTAATTTGTTCTGTTTTTTCATAATTTTGTTTGTTTTATGCTCTGATTTCGATGAAGATCAATTGTGATTTGTACATAGACATCAACACTCGAATGATAGAGATAGAAATAGTGAGAGAGAGAGGGAGAAAAAATGGGAAAAGAAAAATGTAATTCAATAGATAGTTGCGATTTTTTTAATTTGGCGAGATTCAGTTTTGACACTGTAATTTTTTTTTTTTCTTTTGTTGGTTTTTCCGTTCTCCACCAATATAAATCGTGATCACGAATTTGAAAAGTGTTTGAACTCGAATGGCTCAAGTATTTGAAGATATGGAAAATTCGAATTTACTTCGAAAGGGAATTAAATGGAAAACATTGTGTAAAAGTTTTTGAAATGGAAAAAAATTCCCTTTGGAATGGAAATATTTAAACTGATTGAAATGTACAGCATTTTTTATGGCGCTTCAAAATTTACCAACATGCAAAATTGATTCGATAAAAGATGAACTTTGAATTGAACATATTTGCGATATGTTTGTTTCGCTGTAAATTTCGGAAAGAAAAATTGTAAAGAATCCCATTAAAAGAAACAAGCAAACAAATTTTCGGAGCTCTTTTGAAGAGTATCCGCACCCAGTTACCATAAATTCACATCGTCAGCGATCGATAAAATCATCGTTGACAAAAACTTACGAGAAAAATAAAATTCAGATAGAAAACGATTAAGAAAAATAAGCAAAAGCCCACAACTTCAAGAGTAAAACAAAAATTTGAAAAAAAAGAGAAGAAAATAACAATGTACACACATTTTTCGTTTCTATATTGCCTAAGTTACCATCTAAAGAAAAATATCTTCTTTTTTTATATATTTAAGTAAAGTGGTGAACAATGAAACCGAATGGAATATTGTAAAACTTAAAACGAATGCATTTAGAATAATACCACAAAACTCAAAAATAGACAGACAACAGGCATTGCAATCGCATTTAACCGAATGAAACCGAAAATCCAAAGCCATACAGAAAATACGTGTAAAAAATGCAAATTTGAACAATTTGTCTTTTTCAGAACAGAAATACCTCAATTTTATTTTTTATAGAACTCCAATTTTATAAACTCTTTTTTTTTTCTTATCATTAATCGATTATTAATAATTAAAACAGACTGTTTCCGTAAACTGATTACCTCAGAATCACGATTATGCTATTTCTTCTTTTTTTTTAGTTAGTGAAATAGTTTTATCATTTACAATAGAACGTTTCTTTATCGAACGGCATTCATTTTGTAATACACGACAATTTGTCTTAAAATGTGCTCACTTAACCGCTTTTAGTCTTAACAAAAACCAACTAAAAATCAGGGACAAACATACGATTCCATCACCGCACACCACATTTAATCATGGAAATCGATGGTTTTACAACATCATTCAAAACAAAGAGCATTCATCATTTATAAGAATTTAGACAAACAAATAAATGTCGGTATAAATGTGTATGTTTTGTAAAGAATTAATGTTTAAAAAAAAATTAAATGAAAAATAATAATAATAATAACTCCACTCAGGGATTTCTTTAGATTGCCTAATATTTAAACGAAAATTGTGCGTATTTATGTCGATCAATAATAACTTCATACGCAAACAAAACTTTTTTTGAAAATGAAAAACACCAATATGCGTCCGATCGCACCCCCTTTTTTATATCAAACTCAAATTCATTCTCAGGTCAAATGCAAAACATATGCAAGAAAAAAAAACAATTTACTTTTTTAAAAAAGGGACTTACCATTTTCATTGTTGTGCAACAAAAATCGTTTTTTATATAAGGCAATGCATATAATCGTCACTGAGCACATTTACGAGACAAAGCAACATTTCAGAATTAACCACACTTTTTCGACATATTAAAATTTAATATACAATTTACGTTAATACAATTGGGAATATAAGCTACGTCAAATTGGATTAATTATTGGAAACAACAATCTATTCATTGGATCTAATGAGAAGATATGAAAAAAATTACAATACTTACATGCAGTTTAGATGCTACATATAAAAAAAATTAAGTGAAAAAAATTTAAGTGAAAAAAAATTAAGTGAAACAAACCACACATTAAGCTGGCGTATTCATGTAAGAAACAAAAAAAAATTGATTATAAATAAGACGTCAGATTATTGACGTCTAGTATGTACTATTAGATTGTTTTTTTTTTTTTGGTTAATCAAGTGGGTTTTTGGTATTCTTTTTTTTGTTCAAATATTAAAATATTAATAAAAAATTGTAATTTTCAATAGAAAGAAAAATTAACAACAAAAAAAATTGTCAACGCATTGTAAGAATTTTTATTAGATTTAATTGGAAAAGAAAAGAAAAAAAAATGTCGCAAAACGACTTTAAATTGCTATTACCCTCTACACACCCTAGTAAATATTGGATGAGAAAAAAATTACATTACACACAATATATTGATGCAAATCATGTTTAGACTAAACATTTTAGTGAAAAAAAAATGAGATGAAAAAAAAATGCAAAAAAATACAAAGAGAAGATACACTATTCTCGAATGTTGAAATTTTTTAATATGATTAATTATTATAATTTGGTGTAATTGGATGTAAGCAAAATTTAAATATTAATCCAAACAATTGAGAGAAAAATGTGAACTATCGATTTAAAAATCTCTTGTTCAAAATTTAATTTCACCATCACTGAATCGTGACGACAAAAACATGTATGACCATCAAAAAGTTCTCATAATCGAAATTAAGGTCAAATTAAAATGTCGATTCAGTGTGACAGTGTCGAACTATACAATTACTTTAAATAATCGGGTATTAAAAAAAAGCATAACAAAATATATATTTTGAATTTTGCATATGCCACCATATTGGAACATCTACCACACACTCCTCATATACAAACACAGAATATGCACATAAAATACAAAACCACAACTCTTTTTAGACACCCATACACAATACACAACACACATAATAAAATAGACGATAAAAAAAAAACAAAAACAAAAAAAAACTAAATAGATATGAATAGATTTTTTTAATCGATAAGAGAGAATAAATATGTAATAAAAACTAAAACAAACAAAACTCAGGGATTCACTTTAGGTACACAATCTTAATTTTTTAAGTATTGGTCATTTATTTTGAATGGTCATTTTTTTCGTCGATTTATATGTTTTCGCTCCGATTTTGATTTTTTTTTTTTTTTTCAAATAAACCATATACAAGTGCAAAAATTATATATACATAAATGTTCTTATTTTCGTTTAAGTACCCAGTCGAATTATATACAATATTTACAATATTTTTTCTATACGAAATCAAAGAAGAATCACACAATCACAATACACAACCGCCATTCAAACGAAACAATAATGAAACATATACTAATTAAAACAGGATGTTCTCATTTTACTACCTCATAGTCAAGTAAAGAAACACTTCCCCCCCAAAACAAAGCGAAAAATAAAACACGAAAAACAAAATCAAAGTGAAAGATGTAATGAATGGCGAGAGATCATTAGCATGTTTCATATGATGTATATAGAGAGATAAATCGATACGATCAATCCATTATATCAATAAATGATCCAAAAAAGAAAACAACAAACGCGAAACATACCGTATAAACAGAGCTCTAAGCTTATACCAATTACATTTTGTAAATTAAAATTTATGAGGAAAATGCAATAATCAACACCAACAAAGATGAAAAATTAACGAAAACCAAACGGATGCAAGCATAAAAAATAAACATTATTTCAAAGATTAATGATATCATATTGTTATATTGCAAAGTGACAAAGAAAAGAAATAATATCTGTGCAACAGAGATGAAAAATTCTAATATATAAAGAAAAAAAAGAAGCTAAACAGTGAACAAAATAAATGCAAAAAAAACATAATAGAAAAATTTAACTATTTTTGGTTTGTTTTATTTTTATTTATCAACACCCCTCCCTCCCCACAATTTTTTTGTTCCATCCATTTTATTTTGATACCCTTCCGTCCCCGCTGATGTTTTTTTTTTCTTGGGTACTTTCATCTTCGATTTTTGTGTTTTATGGTTTTCAATGGATTCATATCTTATCGTGACTAAGATCATATCTTTTTTAATGGACACCACATTTCTCCGCACTTTTATGTGTTTTCCGCTGTTTTTTGTTTATTTGTTATTCTTTCGTATGA